TTCACATATGGCATTATCGTCCCCCCAGCCTCTACCCCCCGAACATCATTCCCCTTCTAGAAAATTATTTTTATTGGTGAAAGTCCCAACTACACCTCCCTTTGGAATGTCTATCTCCATCTTCCAACACAGAGTCTGTTGGAAACCTGTATAAACGAACAGCAATCTCGTTGACCTTTGCCTTGACTTCTGAAATGCCTTTGGTTTTAATGTTTGTTTTTGTTAGGCAACATGTCAGAGGAACAGCAATGGCCCCAGTACCAGCCAGCCTGGCTTGTTTATCATAGGAAAGGCCTGATCAAGATGCATTTGACAATGCATAAGACAGCCCTCACTGAGGAAACAACAAGGGCATCAGTGAAGACACACATACCATGGACCGTACTGAAATGAAGGGCAGCATTTCTTGTGGGTAGACTTAGGTGCTGTTATGCAATTGATCTTGATTTCTGCAAAAGTTGAGGAAGTTGGTATGCTTACCAGTTAAATATGTTGAAGTGGGAAGAAGTGTAGATACACTAGCTGGTGCTGCAAAAAGATGTGTCTTGAATGAAATTCAGTTTCGATTTTCAATTTGGTTTTTTGTTGGGTTTTTTTGAGTGAGAGAGTCCTACTCTTTTAAAAAACCATCATGAAGCTTCTGGGCAGATATGTGAAACTAACATTATGTATGTATTATGCATGGTTATTAGTTTTTCAGCTGAACTGGAAGAAACTGGTGAAATATAACTTTAGGATTGCTAACAGGCAATTAACTTGGAAGCTGATGTATCCATGTCTTGCAGCACTAGATGCTACTTCTGTAGTCTAAGTGACTACTCAAGTCACTCCTCTTTGAAATGGTTATAATTATTTACCTGGCCTGTGGTTCTTTATTTTTATTTTAAAATACTATTTCTGAACAACTCTTAGCATACTTGTGGACATTCATTAGAGCAGAATTGTAATGGTGGAGATCCTGCAGCTTGAGATAACAAGAACTTCAGGAGCTGTATTGTTTTCGGTAGTAATAAGAGTTGGCCATTATATTTTAAAAATTCTCAAGAGAAATAAATAGATTTATGATATATGCAAAAGTATTGCATTTCCTTTTTTTTTTTTTAATGTTCTGGCATAAAAGCCAGTATATTTTTTTTATACTGGCATTTCAATATCCATCAATTAAAGCAAAAGAATTAACTGCCACTAGTTTCATTGAGAAGGACTAATGAAGATTACAAGAAGCCTTTTTAATTAATGCATTTTTAATGTTTGTCTGTAAAACATACTTAAAGGCAAGAACTTTATGTGAAGGCAGAAAAAATATTTTCTCTCTGTCTTTGCTTTGAGGGGAATACAGTCTCAAATTAAAAGCTTAGTAAGCAGTGCTGTGCAACTCTTGGATAGAGGAAGGTGCTGGGGCCTGAGTCTTTATCGTTATTCTCGTCCCTGAGGATGAATCCTTTTCAGGACTGGTTCTTTTTTTGCCTTGTAGATGTGACAGGAGTTAAGACCAAGTGACACACAAAGTTAAAGACCTTATTCTGCACAGGATTTTAGACCTCAGGTCCAGCAATGAGATCAGTTGTGGGTCTTCAGATCTTTCACAGTTGCATGCTGGAGTAAACTGTAAAGCTTTCTGCTTCTTGGCTGTCAAGGCTGGTAATCCTGTTAGAGCAGGGGAACTTCTACTCAGGCCAGAGTAGAACCTATGCTCACTCTCACTTTTATAACCATCCCCTTGTCTCATGCTCGTGGGAATGAGGCCAGCATTTAGCCCCAAACATTAAGAAATGTGTGTGGGTTCCCTGATCTACAAGTATCTTGTGAATGTAGGGTGCCAACTCTAAATCCCTGAATTACAGCATTCTCAGTGGAACACCTAGAAAATTCACATTTCTGCACTTAACATATAATTGTTGAGCTTTAGGTAGATGGTTTACACAAGAGCTTTTAAGAAAAGACTCTGCCTGAAGAGTAGTTGTGAAATATAAAGCCAAATATCCAAGGACCCACACGAAGTACCTGAAACATGCATTTATTTCCACTATTATGTACTGTCCCCTCTTAGCACATTACTCAGTGACTCTGGCAGCAGAGTTAGTATTTTCCCATGACCGTAAGAGTTTTGCATCCCTTGAATCCAGTATTATGCTTCATTCCCCCATGGCTGCATCTGTACTAATAAATTAAACACTGTCAATCACTGTCACTTTTGAGGCCAACAGGCCAGAGACTCCCTGCTTCTATTGCTAGAAAACTTTTTTACCTCCCAAAATGGGGCAGTAGAATCTAAAACATCTCTTGGGAGTTACTTGTGGTTGATATTTATTCCTGGACAGCAGCTAGGAGTTATTTGGGAAAGTGCTCTTTGGAACAAGTCTGAACAATTTCAGGAATGGTTACACAGTATAGGTGGCTGAGTTCCCATGCTAAGACTGTTGCTTAGTCCTATTAAACATGTAAGTATGGGAGTAGGCTGTTTAAATTAGCAGAGCAAAAGGCTTTTTCCCAATGGTGTAATGGGAAACAGAGCTATCAAGAAAGACAAAATACCTTCATAAGATTGCTCCAGCTTAACCACTGCTTCTGAACGGCTGTCTTCTCTTCTGCCTGGTACTTAGGGGTAGTCAGAACTCAGGTTAGCAGCCTGGTGCCGCCTTCTTGGCTTATCTAAATCTTGGGTTGCCTTTTACCTAGCTGTATTTGAAGAGTATCAGGATTCTGCTGTATTCAGATAAAATTCTTCAGCCCATGCTTTTCTTTCCTTAATGTTAGTTAGCTTAGAGGAACACATTTTATTAGCATCTTTGATTAGCCCTTGAAGTTTTAGCAAATGAGCGAGATGTTGCTCCAACTGTCTGTGGAACACATATGGACACTTTGATATGCTGATTTCCTTCTGGAGACAATACTTTCCATTCCATAACATTAATTGAACTATGATCTCCCTGACTTCCCCCTTTTCCTGCAGCATGGCTTATGCTATACTTTGTACTGTCATGACTATAGGTTTAGTATTATGAAAAATACCTTTCAAACATTCAGCCTGGCAACTCTAGATGCATTGCTGGGTTTCCATAGAGATGACACAAAACAAATTAACATATGTAAGACCTGACTTGTCTTTTGTCAGGTCCAGAAATCTGAGTCCCTTTCTTGTGATAGGGACACTTAATAATGTATTACTTAATTTGGTGTAGTAGGGTGCTTCCTCTATTCAGAGACAGTCTTGCTGAGAACCTTTATTTGCTTTCACTCTTGTAATCATCTTTTCTGATACCAAAACTGAGTTAGCTTTTCATCTATCAGTGTGCTGCTCCTGGAAAAGTAGTGTCTTCCACCACATTTTTATGCAAATAAGGAGAAATTCCACGTCCCCCATGTCATTCTTTTGACATCACTAAGGAACAAGGACATTCAGGTACAGACATAAGTTGCCAGATATTTCTTTGCAGAGCTTTAGCCTTCTCTAATATATTCCTGATTTTTTGTAGGAGTCCTTGGTTTTTCTGGTATAGAAATAAATTGTTATTTTATTTATTTATTTTATGTTATTTATCAATTTTAGCATAGGTAAAAACCCACAAAATCCGCAATTTAAAACTTCAAGTTGCCAAAATTATTCTGTGCAATCTTACCACTTAGTAACTCTCCTTTCATGGAAAAAAATGTGAGTACTTTAAGACTTGTGCAAGAAGACTATTAATTCGTTCAACCTTGATACTCTATAGATCAGGGAATCAAATATTTCAGTTGGTTCTTTCTGTACTGCGCATTGGCTGAGTTCTGTGTAAACTGCCCAGGTAATGGAGGGTAAAGAGAGGGTGAACTGGGAATGATAAAGCCTGGCTTGCTACAGCTTGGGCAAGTACTTTGTACCTGAAGTGGTAACATGGTTTTGTATTGTGTAGAGTAGCAGAGAACCTGTGGGTTCTTGCTTTCTCAGAACTTGTCCTCAGTATACCACTCCTCACTGACTAGCAGGACATTTGCCCAAAAGGTATCTACTCACCATTTCAGATCATGGAGTGAAAGATAAAAACACACTTGGTAGTCTGTTTCAGCTGTTAGTCATCATCACTTTTTGGCAGCCAAGGCTTTTTCTCCAAGTTTGTCTCTTCTCCCCCACAGAGAGCTGGTTGCTCTGTTAGGAGAGTAAATCTTTGTGTTGAATATGTCTTGAAGCACTCTTTCTGCTCTCACTTCAGTGCTTTCATGCTTTCCAAAACTGTATACAGAAATAAAATTGTCTCTAACTCTGTTCCTTTGTGGGAGCAAAGACTTGAGTAGATATGTCTGGGACTGCAGGTTGGGGAACTGATTCCAGGTCACAGCACCCAAACTCCTGTTGGTTTTGTTTATGACTTTGTTTAACTGTACTTGGTTGAAACTGTGAGCAAAGTGGTGCTACTTTGAAAATCTGCTTTATTAGGGATGCAACTGGAAAAGAAAAATTTTACTTGATAGAATAAGAAATGACAGTGCTGTGCAATTCTACTTCAAATAAAGGAAAGTACTTTTTTTTTTTTTTAAATGGCACAAAATGCTTCTAAGTCTTTCTGCTTGATTAAGTAATTTCTTGTAAGGCTTTGTCGTATTAACCATGAAGGAAAATTCCTTAACATTATCTTTTACTTACCAGAGATTTATAGATCTGGTAGAAGGATTTGCAACAATTCAGTGAAGCAGTTGCATCCTGACGATGTCCAAAGGTATGTGAGTCTGTGTTACAGGAGCTTTACAATTAGGAAAGAAAACATAGCCACTGTACAACCCGAATATGCAAACGAAAATAATTGTTTGCGTAAAAATCCTCCCAGCAAATGTCTTATCCACAGTATAGGTTCTGTATCCTCTGTGTCATTTCATCTGTTTCCATAACTTTTTTTTTCCACCTATGTTGTTTCTCAGCAGACACGTGATAAAATGTCTAGGCTGGATTCCAAGGGTGGAATAAAAAGCTGTGTTTATTTTTATGGAAGCACTAACAATTCTATTTGGATTGGATTTCTTCATAGCAAAACCAATGAATTATTGAACAGATTGGACGTGGGTTTGCCAAAGAGTGATTCCTGTCAGATTGCTAATCCTGGCCCAGAATCTACAGCATGGGTAAGCAAAACTATGGTGTGTACTGTATTTTCTATCAGCTTTCCAGGTGCTGTCAATAGTGTAATGTTAGAATATTCTAATTGAGCTTAATTGCCTAGACATAACTCAGTGAGTACCAAGAAGTCTTTCTGGGTGAATGAGATTGCCTACATTGTCTCTTACATACTGGCAGAGTATTCCACATAGTAGGCAAGTGCTCATAGATATCTCTCTGATAAATGAGAACCAGATTTATATTCAAAGGTCAGATCAGAATCTTAAATATGCCCTGTGCTCATCTGTTGGTGGTGAGCTTTTATGAAATCTCAATTAGTTCTTGTCAGCAGATGCTTTACTGCATTAAGAATCTAGTCAGAAGAAAGAGAAACTTGTTTCTCACTGCATTGTAGAAGTGATTCCAGACACTGCTTGGGGTCTTTGTCCCAGTTTGAGTGAGCCTGGTGAGTATCAATGTAATTAGGAAATAGATAAAGTATTGCTTAAGTTTAATTATTCTAATTGCCTCTAAAAGGCTTTTTCACATACAATTAGTCTCTTCATGTCTAAACCAAGCTTTCCTGCTATGTAATAACTTTCAGTGAGGAATATTAACCCTGAGACAGAAGTATTTCTCCTGTATGGAGATTTGTAATTGGAGGAAGACAGAGAAGAGGCAGCCAAGTGGACAGAAATTATTGTTATAAGCAACTCTGAGGAAATTTGGAAGTATCTGATCTGGGCAGCCGTCTGTTGTATACAACCTTGAACAACTGAGTAGCAGGAAGGGAAGATTTGCCTCCCTATTTCCTCAAAAGCCTTAGAAATGTAGAAAAGTCCGCCTGTTACTGAAATTGTTGCCAACAGAGTATATGACAGCTCTCTTACCCCTACTTTCTCTTCCTGGTTTGCATGAAAAGGGAAGGTGATACTGAAAATACGTTCCTTTCCCCTTTGATTCTGATGATAATTTTGTGCCTCTGAAAACTCTAAAGAAATCTTAGCTTATGTGAGCAGATATATAGCTTGAAGGAGCCAGCTCCTGTCCAGCATTGCTGGACAGGTCAATTGCAGGAGAGTGGCTTTCAGACTATCTTTTGTAGTCCTGAATGGACAAGAAAGATGAAGGACCATGGGAAGGGAGAAAAGATGTCTTGAAACAACTTCTGCCTCTCTCTTGAAGCATCCAACACTGCAAACAGTGGGGAGCTTGTTCTTTGGTAGGGAACACTCTGCTCTGCAGCCTTCATATGTGTGAGCATTGAACTGCAAAGACAAGTGAGCTCATATCCCCAGGACTGACTTGGATTTCAGCATTTTGGTGTGGTGTCTTCATATCCATATGGAAGCAGGTGGATGTCTGAAGGAACACTTAATTCTTTCAAATGTACAGGTCCTGTTTTTAGCCTTGGCCTTCTACTTTACCTGCATATGTATGGCTTTCTCATTCCAGGTTTTGACAGGTTTCTTAATAAGTCATGCCAAATTACATACCACAGTTCATCTTTTGTTTCACTAATGTCCAAGCAGGTAAAATGCATCATTCATCTGTACTGTTCTTTAATACTAGCTGATATTATACCTGTCTTTTGCATAGTAGTGTATCTATAGCTTTCTGAATCAGCTAATCACTTGCTTATAATGCAGCAATGCAATTAGCAGTTCTCCCAAGCAACTTGGCTGAGGTATGGTCTATAGGTATACACACACTATCTGTGCTCTGGGTAACGAATGTGAAGCACATAACCAATGAGTTGTTATCTAAATAAACTTGGCATAGTATCAAGATTCTAAAACAGTGGGAAAGCTAGGACTCTAATTTAGATGTTATCTTGAACGTGTCCTTTGTCTGGAGTAATTAAAAGATTCAGGAACAATGTATTTGAAGTAGTGAAGTGTGATAAGCTTAGGACATGCCTGACATGCATGCTAAAAGGGGCCATTATATGTACATATAGGTGATTTCTAAAATTTAAAATTCATTCTCTATCACCAGTTTGGGACAGTGTAATGGTCAAAGTTTTTCCCTCACATCATTTCTTTGATAGTGATATTAATTTAGCACACGTAGTTCAACTATCAAGGCCAAATGTTACTTGATGTCTGTGAACAAATTTGACTTCTTTGGAGTGACTCTGTCATTGATGACTTTTTTGGCCTGCTTGTTTAATCAAGCTCATAATTAATTTTAATCCTGTCTTTCAAAGTGTGACCAATCCTGTGTAGATTTTTATTGTCTTCCAACTTGATTAACATACCCTCCACACAATTCTCCAAGCCATTATGGAGAGTAATGAATAATATCGGACCCAGAATGAGTCTCCCTGGACACATGTAACAACTTCTCTGAGCTCAAAATTGAGCTATTAATAATTGCTTTCTCTACTCAGTCTTTTTAGCAAATGATGTGCCTGTTGTTTTAATGGTGTCATTCTGCATGCGTATATCAAGTCTTGAGAACATTGTGTAGACCTGCCACAAATTCCTCACCAAAGTCAGACCTGCACAATTCTTGTATTAAATTATACTGTCTCATTATTTAATGTGCTGCACTATGTCCCTGCTCGAAGACTTTACAGTAAAAGTTCCAGTGTATAATATCCTGAAAATCCTGTAAGATCCTAATGGCTTTTTGCTAACAACTAAAACTTGTGAAAGACCAGGAACAGTTATTATAATGAAATTGTACTGCACAGCTGAATATATTATTCGTGATGTGTAGTTCAGATTTTCAGGTGTCTTGGCTGCCCCACAAATAATAGAGCATATTTGATCTCTCAGTTTCTGTTGCCTTACCTCCACAAATAATTCTGTTTCCCCCTCTGTTACCAGGCCTCTGTTCTGCTTTTTTATCTTGGTAATATTTCCAGTACTTTTTTGCTTCCCAGAATACCCCTTCTCACTATCATATCTCCTAATTGTGTTTTCTAACTGCTCAGATTATCTTTATGCTTGTCACTGGGACATGTGCTGTGGACACTTTGTTGTCATGTGTAGGTAGACATTCAGCCAAGGTGAATCACTGAGAGGCTTTAGGACACTTCTTGTTTAAATTCTAGTTTTGAGACTAAATCTGTTTCTTAAGTAACTGGAGTCATTCAACCATTTGTATTTGTTAATTACCCATGTAACAATTTGGAAATGACATTCTGGAGTTTGGCCTCCCTTTCCCCACACCAATATATTTTTATTTTCTACTGAAAAATAGACACGAAGCCATGCTTATAAGCAAGCTCTTCGAGAGGATGAAAACAGAAGAGTAGAGGAAATGAAGCAAGAACAACGGAGGAAGGTAATTATACATTAACAGTTTGCATATTGTAACTTTTTTGCATGCTGTGAAACCAATTAAATACACTGATTACTTGTAGCCTACGCACAGATCTTCTCTTTAGCAAAAGTGATTCAGTCACTGTTTTCAAATATTATGAGAGAGATGAGTCAAGCTCAAAATTTTGACAGGGACAGGACAATTATCTTCTGGGTTCAAGGCTGTTTGCATCTGGATAATGAGCTCCTGTTTACCTCTCCATATGAAAAATTGCGCAGAATGTTTTTTGACCATGGCACCTGATTTCATAGGCTAAGGAAACCAGTTTACTCTCTTTCAAGCAGAAGTCATCTTACAGAGATATCCATGATGATCTCAGTCTGAATAGTCTCTTTCTGAAGAATTGAGGCCTATGTGCCCTGCTTTCTCAAATGGGGTCATGGAAACATTCAGATTTGCTGTTAATTACAATATGCTTTTCTGTTCCCTTACTAACCACCTAAATAAAGAGTTTTGAGTTGTCTAAAAAGCAGGCATGCCATAACTGCAACTTTGAACTCCGTCTTCTGCATATGTGTCATGCATTGCCTGAAATGTGCCTAACACTGTAGTCCCTCTGGTATAGATCTGGGTACCATAGCTACATAAAATTCATCTATGGAAGGCGATGGCACTGTGCCAAGTTATCTGTTTTGACTCCAGATCTGAGTTTGAAAGTGTGGGGAGGGCAGCATTTGAAAATGGTATGAGCAAATAATTTGAAAACATATAAGCAAATACTGAACCTCTTGCTGTGCCTCTGCTGTTAATAGTATCCAAATTCATTGCTAAACTACTTTCCCAATCGCAAAATCTTAGCACAACAAATTCCATGCAGTGAGTTTCTACTAGAGCTGGAGAAGTGACTGATCCCCTCTCATGGATATCTTTCTTTACACGTTGGGGATGTGTCCTCCTTTCATGTTCTAACAACTGTGATACTGGAAACAAAAGGTGGAGCAAAAGAGAGGTTCTTAATTGCTATCCTATCAGGTGTATGCTTATTCCCAGGAACTATAAAGAGTAAAATTTTTGAAAGTCAGTCCTGATGGGTATAAGGCTGGTAGCTGTTGTATTCTGTACTTTGATTCTTCCAAGGAGAAAATAACTACTGATGTAAATTAGCATGCCTCTAATTGATGAGTTTTGTTTAAGGGACTTGTGTAGAGCTGGAGATTCTTTACTAATTTCCACAAATTACTAAGGAGATATTGGCTGCTTTTAAGGCTGCACTTGTTTGCTACATGGTTCCAAGGTCTCCTTGCCTTCACAGTTGCTGCAACCTATTGAGCAGAATAATGCACTACCTACAAACCTACTGTAATATATACTTTAAAGGCACCAATAATTGTCCCTCAGATATATGTTGGCTCGTTTCTACTTCAAACTAATATTTATTAAAGTAATTGTGAATTCTGTCTTGTGTGTACCTCCTGGCACAGTGTAGCTATAAAATGTGTAGGCATTGTCAGTTCCCTTTTTTTCTTCAGAACAGGTTTTAGTATGCATTACTTGATTCAGAAATTTTCAGTACATTTTGAAGACTGCATCATATACACACAATATATTTCAGAACATTACTCCAAGAGAGGAGTCGGCATACTGGAAAGTCAGATACTGAGTTTTAATTTTCAGCTTGAATAGTTATTTAAAACAGTGAAAATTAAGGTTGGCTTTTTTATTTCTTAATCCTGTTTCTTCTTTTAGGGCTAGACAAATATTGATACACAAGACATTCTCAGTTATTGATTTTTTTCATACATGTATTGCATAGTTATTATTTAATGTTCCACTTAAATTGATTTAAAAAAAAAAAAAAAAGACTTGTGGTTCCATTCAGTTATTGAAGCTTTTATCTAACTGAATCATTTTATTTTAGTTTCCATTCCTACTGCCTCACAGTTGCTATGGAAAATATGAAAGATGGGTCTGTTCCTATCCCTTTGCCTTTGTCCTACAAGCCAATTTTTTTCTGCAGAAAAATCTGCACCTTCAATTCTTGGGTGCATTGCAAGGAGCAAGAGCTAGACAAACAAGAAAATATGCAGACCAGAGTCATACAAACTGTGTTTTCTTCACAGTTCTGGCTAAAACTGCATAAGCAAACTCTCCTTTGAAAAGAATTCCCTTTGACACTGTTTATATACCTTAATATTACATAAGGATGGTAGTGTGCTGCAATGCTGGGAGCTTGCATATGCTTCCACCACACCAACAAGTATCATTTGCCCTCCTCACCCTGGTAGGAGCCTCAGGGAGCTGGAGGTGACACACCACACCACATACCCCATATCTCATCTTTTCCTTGTACTCTTTAGAGGCAGGAGGCGAGAAGGGCATGTCTCCTTCTTACTCTATGGGCATGACAGCTGTGTCTGCTCCTGCTAGATTACTCTGGCTGTTTTCCCCCTTGAACCCACAGGGAAATTCAAACCCCGGGGTTCAGGCAAGGGAAAGCAGACTGGTGTCTTGCATTCGCCCTTAAATGTAGGACTGTAAATGTCTGAATCCTGTAACTACTCACTTTTTAAGGCACAAACAAATATCATCCACATGCTGAATGGAAAAATGAACACAATTTTTGACGTAGTCCTGTTACATAAATGAAATGCTGCTGATAGACATTCTGGGAATGACATGTGGCTCTAACTGAGGTTAATATCATGTGGAATTAATAGGGTTTGCAGCATAAATATGTAAATTAAAAGTAAGTTAGTTTGTTTGTTTATTTGTTTGTTTTTCATTTTCATCATTGCCAGGCTGAATTAATGGAATTTAAACAAAAGCAGGAAGAGGAAGCCAGGATAAGAGCGCATCAAAATGAACAGAGGAGGTATAGTGCAAAAAAAACAGGTACACTCTAATTCAATTCCCACCTGGAAAGGGTCTCAAAATTGAAGGCACTCATGCTTTAGAAGATGATTGCAATGAGGATCCCATACCTCATCTCTGGTTTAGCTTTGCTTTTTAATGAACCACTAATATCTATCATTACAACTGCTCACTGTATTGCAGGATGACCCAGAGTACCTTTTTCACTTTCTTTATCCTAACAGCATAGGATACAGGATAGGGTAGAAACTATTAGTACTTTCATGAATAACTACTAGTACTAAATACTACTAGCTTCAGCTGGGACACACTTTTATATGTCTGTTTATCTATCCAGCTATCCATCTGTAAGATAGATATAAAATCTACAAAATTTTACTTTATTTTACAATGGGTTACTTAGTCCATGCCACATATTGTGGTTGACTGTCACTAAGGTTAACAAACAGAGCTAAACATAGGATTTGATATCCATACAGATAGATACTGCTCTTGCAGTGCAGCAAGGCCTTCTGCAGCAGCATTTCTTCACACCCCAGGCTGTGCCTCACTGTTGTGACCTCTCTGTGCTCAGCTGTTCTCATCTTCCACTTCAGTCACTTAACTGACTTTCCATTATCCTGAAGCACAGCTTTATTCTCAGCTTTGTTTTCTGCTGGTAAAAAGAAACAATTCTCAGGCTCAAAAATAAAACCACCATTTTGTTTCTTTTTTTTATACCATTATGGAAATATTAAAAAAACACTTCTGTAGGCAACCGCTCTCCATACTGCTTTCATTTCTTTTTTTTTCTCTAGCAAAGACATTGAGAAAATTACCCATAGAAGCTAATGAAGGATTTTTGATTCACTCCATCTCATGTCCCTAGACAGAAATAACACAGTATCTTGCATTTTATATTTTTCTTACCAACAGTATTGTAACACATTAAAACAACAGTCCTGTCTAAGCATGTATGTCATTCCTAAGCAGTAATAGGGGAAAAAATGAAACCGTTTTCAAAAGAATCATAGAATTATTTGGGTTGAAAGTCACCATAAAGATCATCTAATTCCAACCTGCCTGTCATGGGAAGGGACACCTTCTGATACACCAGGTTGCTTCAAGTCCTATTCAACCTGGCCTGGATCATTTCCAGGGATGGAGCATACACAGCTTCTCTGGGCTACCTGTTGCAGTGCCTCACCATCCTCAAAGTAAACAATTTCTTCCTAATATCTGAACTAAATCTACCCTCTTTCAATGTAAAGCCATTACCCCTTTCAGGTACTGAAAGGCTGCTATAAAGTCACCCCAGAGCCTTCTCTTCTCCAGGCTGAACAATCCCAATTTGAAAATATTTAAAACAGATTGAGGAAAGCTGTGTTTGTATTTGTCCATGCTTTCCAGGTTGATAGAGCAGTGTAAGAAAATGCTGGAGTTGATTCCAGAGCTGGATGGTAGGGAAAGTTGTCAACTGCATAAATTGTCTCTATTAGTTACAAGCTTAGGTTGCTTAGGTTGTTTTTTCAATTTGTGTTAGGAAATCAGTACTTCTAGAAACTTTCCTTGTGTGCTGAAGGCTGAATGACCATCTAATATGAATTGTCAAAATAGGTAACCACACTGATAAAGTGCGTGGTATTATGCAGGTCATCTTTCTATGGAGAATTTTTCACAGCAGCCAAGGTGTGCGTTTTAATCACAAGAGACTGACCACAGGATAAGGATGCACGTAGAGAATTGAAAATTAAATTCACCCAATCTCATTCTTGTCCACAGTTATGCAGCACAGGCTTGAAAACTATAGGAAGATAGGCGCTGAATGGAGGGGAAGGGAAAGCCACTCACAGAATGTTAAAGTTCAACAGTTTGTGAATTTCTCAATTACCTTCAGTCGATATTAATTTTTTATTGTACTTTAAGGGTAAATAATGCATTCCTGGACCGACTCCAGAAGAAAACACAACTTAATAACAGCTACCAACCTGGATATACTGGACTACCTCATTAATGGCACAAGGGTAAGTTTTTGGGTACAGAACTTGGAAGTAATGAGTTGACTTTTTCTCCAGACACTATTGCATGTCTGGGTGTGTTTAACTTGCCTCACAGAACTTACAGTCCTGGAGGACTGTCCTCAATAGCTTTTAAGAAGGAATCCTGTCTTAAATATAAGCTGTTCAAAAGGGGCGAGGGAGAAACAGTTGCTCTTGTAGTAGCATTCAGTGGCTTTGCATGCAAGGAACCACATCCAAAGTATTTTCTTAAGTTCAGAACAAGAATAGTGAAATTGTTCAGAATTTTTTGAAAATCTTTAAATGAAAGATATTTGGATATGGTGTAAATATTTTAATATGATACTCAAATTGGAGTGGAAAAATCTCATATATGTGTATATATATATATATATATATAGTTATTCACTTGTAGAGCTGTTCACTTTTTATCCATATAAAATTATGACAAAGAAGGCCCAACAACAACTGATTTTAAATTAGTATTTTTAAGGATACTTTGAAGAAAAGGGATCTTGACTGTAGTCTATTAAACATCCATTCATTTTTCAACTGTCCTAATGAAGCATTAATGTGGCTGTTGTTCAGAATTGCACTCTTCAGTATAAACAAAAAAATAAAATTATGTGTATTCCTATCATGGAAATTTCCGTTGGGTTGAATTTCCATGGGTGAAAGGAACCTAGTGCAGAAATGGAAAAGTTAAGAAGACTGAGCAGCAAAACGATGAGAATCTAAGAGAATTTAATGAATTTGTCAGGGTATAGGAAGGTATTTAGCTGATAAACTGTAAAAGCTTGAATTGGATTTGTTGGACTAACTGGTGAGAGTGCATATGTTGGCCAATGAATTCCAGGAAGACCTGGGTTCAAGTGTCTACAAAGTCAAAGCTTGGATAAAAAGCAGATATTGTCACTGCTGAAGTTTTTCATGTGCTGGAAGTGGAAGTGCCTTCATCACTACAAGCTTTGGGCAAGCCCTGGGCCGCAGCAGAGGGCTCAGGAACCTCAGACTGGTCCTCTTTGTCTTGTGAGAGGTGACAGGACCTGCCAGTTCAACCTCCCATAAGGTCTGTGAGCAGATGCTTGGCAAACCAGGCAATTAGAGGCTTTACTGGTAAGGTCTGGATCATGCACCAGGCAGTCCAGAAGTTGCTGGAAGCCAAACTACAGATGTCCAGGCTAGTTAAAGAGTGTATGACAGCATTCTGTATGGCATCCTGAAGGATGACATGTCTACAGATAGCAGAATTAGACTTTGGGTAAGACAGAGCCCACCGATACCTAGTAAAGAGCAAAAGGTAAAATTTGCTGAATGGTGCCTGGTTAACAAAAGCAACAAGGGCACTTTGTGTCTTTTATCCCCATTTGTATACTGTTTCTTGATCAATGCAAAAGGAAATGGGTGATACAGATGAGATCCCCAATATCTAAACTCAAGCATCTCCATCAGAGCACCTGCCATCAAAGCTGGAAACCTTGCCATTGTCTGCAGAGGTAGCCAGGTGCACATCCTCTTTCACGGGGCAGGTGCTGCTACCACCATATGAGTGTACTCAGCCCAGGCACAGTTTTAACAACAGATGTCTCTGTGACATATGAGCCAATCCATGGGGGAGGGGGTGAGGGTGTTAAATATATATATTCAAAGAATGCATGAACAAAAACGCAATAAAACCCCCTGTGTAGAAGTGATTAATTTCCTACTCTGTTGTTTACTTAATGGTTTCCAAGGAGCCTGCCTTCTGTTGAGTAATGCTAGATCCATTTTTCCTTTATGTTATGATGGTGAGATTTGAAGACTTAACAGAGGAGGGAAAGATTAAACGATGAAAGAATATGTCATAAAGGAAAGGAATTAAAAATGAGTATTGGTAACAAGTACAAGAAAGAAAAATATCTCTCAAAAGATAGGCTGGAGGCGTCAGCCTCAGTGTCTTTGATTATACTGAGATTCTTCTCCTTTCCCTTGGGATTTTAAACAAAAAGAACTGAACTCCAGGTGGGGCTTATAAGTCATGTAGTCTGCAGCCTGCAGTTTACATTTCAAGGGAGGTAACTGAAGCAGGTCAGACTATACACTAAGATTAAAAGAAATTAGAAAGATTCACAAAGTGGAGACCTCCAGGTAATTCTTGAGCCTGCTCTGTCTGTGCAGTGACACCAAAGAGAAAATATTTGTTCTCTTCCCCTTTTTTTTTTTCCTGTTTGAGCTTTTTAAAGTCACAACAGCTTCACACTTAACAGGAACTAAACATTGTGCTCTGTTGTTGATGTGCCTGCTGTATTTTTCACTGTTATTTCTATTAGCCTGGTTTCCTAAGGAAATGAAGTTTGTATGATAATGGTGTCTGTCTGCATGTAATAAGGTTTTCAAGCTGATGGCCAATCTCAGCCAAATTTGAAAGGGATTGTAAGTCTCAAAGATAATTAAATTTCTGTGTGTCTATGAAAAGCAATGACTGGCACAGGAGAGACCCCAAAACAGTGCTTCACTCACAGAGGTAGTGGGAAGGACCTGGGCACTCTTTTGGCTGCAGCCCTCTGGCTGATCAGTGTGGGCACAGCTCCTGAGCAGCTGCAGCTCTGCCCTGGTTTCCTGGGGACATGGATAGCACAGGAGACATGGAGAAAAGACGAGGAAGATGAATATATAGTGTATGTCTCAACACGAGGGAGGAGACCAGTTACATTGCCCAATTGTCCCCTAATCAATAGGAAATGAGTTTCCGTTAATTCAATTGCCCTCCAGACATTTTGTGTTTTATTAGGAATATTTATAAACTGTTATTTCAAAAAGGATGTTCATGAAAGTAATCGTTTCTGCCTTTTTGGTTGTAAATGCCAGGGCACCCTCTATGTGGTTATGAGTTTTCTTATTTTTAATGGGAAAATAACTTAATGAAGTTCCACTTCTATCTGTGAGCTACTGCACCCTTGAGAGAAGCCTGAGTCTTGTTGCATGCTATCGAGAAAGTTTTGATGTCCTTTCCACTGACATTGTCTCTGACACAAGGATAAACCTCTCAGGATAGGAGGGTAAAAGAATAATGGTTGTCCTTTCAACATCAAAGCTTAATAAATAAGATCATATCATAGAATCATATAATGGTTTGGGTTGGAACAGGCCTTAAAGATTATCTAATTCCACCCACCCCTGCCATAGGCAGGGACATCTCCCTAGACCACGTTGCTCAAAACCCCATCCAACCTGGCCTGGAGCATTGCCAGGGATGGGTCATCCACTTCTCTGAGCAACCTGTGCCTCTGGGTTCCTATACTTCTCCATCCTCACAGTAAAAAACTTCTTCCTAACTTAATTGTTACTCAGCTGGAACTTATAACTGAGTCAGTCTCTGTTTACTGTAATGGCACAACTTATGAGTTTATTTTAATAGTAAAACACTTCTATTGTTAAAAAATAATTTTAAAACAGTTGCACATTTTTATATTCAATCCTCATGAGGTTTGCCCATATTAAAGTACAGAGAGATTTGCAGAGGCCGAATGCTAGTATGTGACAAGCCTGTGAAAGAGCCCTTGTTTATTTTTTGCGTGGAAATGGAGCACTGTCAAGTACCCTTTTGTCTCTTCTGTTAATGGGAAGAGGTCACATGGTGAACATATGAAATTTATAGGTCTACTCTTCTTTAGGGAAATACTATGTCTTGCTGAAACTCTCTGAGCTATAGTAAACCCGGAATCTAGAAAGCAAGATTACATATTACATCTTCTCGTTTCATGTCTCCATTACACCCGGTGTCATGCATAAGAATGAGAAATGCTCCCTTGGATGCTGACTCTGCTCTTTCAGTGGATGCATAATTCTAGATATTTGCTGTGGGAAGCAACTATGCCCTGAAAACACAGGTGCAGTGGGACAGGAAACCCCATTCTCTTCCTTTCCCATGTGCAGAACAGGAAGTCAATAGATGCTGGATAAATCTGTTTTGAGGAAACATGATTTATGGATAAAACTATTTTAAATAAACATGGTTTGTGGGTTTGCATTTGGTTTAGTTCTTGTAGCATGACCCATGGGAAAGTCTTTTTGGAGTCTTAACCAGCACTTGATTTGCTATTTCCTACCAGCTGAAGAGGGAGTATGTCATGAAGTTTACTGCTGCACAGCGAAAAGAACCATAGCTCAAAGGCCCCTGAAGTCACAAGGCCAGCATACATGCCACAGGTTTCCATAAACAATCAGTCTTTAATGAACTTTTGGAAGGATCAAGTTGCACTGAAAATGCTGGTTTCCCAGCACAAAGAAAAAGGTTTTACTTAATATGGAAATATTGAGGATAGAATGTTTATACAAGAAGGTTCCAGAATGCAATCCACAGTGCTTACATTTGTTTTAATGAAGAATGTGATTCACAAATTTAGCTTTAACTTGGTTAGTCTATGTACAAACTGAGTTGAAAACATTATTAATTTTTTCCTAAAACTAGTTGTTTTCTTGTTAGTTTGGATTTTTCTTTTTACTGAAAGTAATAAGCTTGTCTTTCCTGGCAGAAAGATGGCAGAAAATATAGAAACTACTTAGCAGAAGTATCAGCATCAATATAGGGACGTCAGATGAGTAAGTCCAGGCACGCTGTATCTCAGTTTAATGACTTACCTCTGGCAAGGCTGTCAAACATCATATGTAGATGTGTTCTGCCTACCTTGACTTTGAGCTCAATATTTCTTTCCTTTGAAAATCTCATCCTAAAAGAGAATAGTGGCAGCCTGGGAAGGAATAGAAGAAACTTCTCACTCTTTCAAATTGTGTGAGGTCAAGAAAGGACTGAGGTGTCTGAAGATATTTGAAACACTCCTAGATTGTTATTTTTTTCCCCAGCAAAACCAAGATATGTTTATCTCCTGGGTCAATACATTCTGCTATTCATATTGAGTTCAAATCAAAGACGTATTTCTTACTGGAATCTTGCAGAACAGTTTACTTGTGATTTTAAGTGGAGTTTCAAAAGGCCAGAAAGGTCTTCAAATAATCAACAAAGTTCCACTCAACTGTATAACCATAATTTCTTGCATAAATGTGTGATTGTACTGTAAATTGTACTGTACTAGTGCATTTTTTTCTTTTATCTATAAGTCAAATTACTTGGAATGAAGGAGGAGAAAGGTAAGAATAATGAATTTGTTTGTTCTTTTTAGTACCAATGCTGGTATTAATTTACCTTCGTATTTGACATTTTTTTGAGACAGCTTAGGTAACAATTTTGAAGCAGTGAGAGGGGAGCTTAAAATAAATGCTTTCCAACTCTGTGTATGGGACCATGCAATGGCATATATCTCATCTAAAATACGGGTTTTTTTTTGTAAAGAACCACAGAATGTATATTTCAGGTCAGAAGAATTGCTGATGTCATGGATGCTGATGTCATCTTCTTGGAGCACCTTGATATTTAGGCTAAAACCTCAATACAGCCATGTTCTCTGCATCATGTACTGTACATGGATAAACCTGGACAGCTGGGGAATGTGGCTGTCATGGGCTGTGTTCTTCATGCTATTTCTCATGAACAAAAAGGGAGATTCATATCAGTGGATGCTGTCAGTAAACATCGTTAGTGAACCAGAGAACTCAGGCCCTCTGTTTTTAAATGTCCTTTTCATAGGGCTCACTGCACCTGTTCTTTTCTGAAAGGGGTTCCCTACTTTAATTCCCAGTTCTGATATAAAGATTTCTGCAGAGCCTTTACTTCTAGGCTTGGAGACTTTTGAAGCAAGTTCAGGTACCAACAAACATAGATTATTCTTGACTTAAGAGATAGCTCTGACTTTTTTTTTTTTTTTTGAGAGCTAGCATTAGTATTTTGCAGCAGGGTTGTATTCTGAAGATGGAAAATAAATAATATTTTTGACCTCCCATGAGTTGTCCTCAATTTGTGAAATTGTAGTTGTTATTAAAATTAACTCAAATTCACTAAAAAAATGACAATAAGTAGATGAAGGCAGTTCCCCAGAGGGCAAGAAACAACCATTTTTTGCATCCCACAGTTCTATTAGGTTTTATAAATTATGGACAGCAATACATTGTATTCTATGTTGTTTTTCCCAATGTCTACAATACCAATAATATATTTACATAAGAAGTGTGCTAGAATTATGGATGGGTGTACTTTTTTAAACCTTTTTTTACTGTTGTTCAGAAAACACATTTCAGCTTACCACATTACTATATTGTTCAAAGAGTTATTAATATGTTTGCAGATAATTAGGACATTTTGTGAATTAAATTTACAAAAAGATAGAAATCCCTTCATGAAGGCTTTACATAATTAAATGTCAAAACCTGTTGGAAGAAAAGAAAGACATTATTTTCCAGTGGACTTAATCCCTGAGAAGTTGACTTTGATTTTTGTTTTTGCTGTAAAAGATAATTTTTAATTCTGTTTTCTCCCTCTTGTTGCAGAGTATTGGAGAAATATTCGCTTTTATCTGGCCTAGGCAAAATGACTTCATAAAAGCTCCAAGAAACCGCTTCTTTATCATTGTGATTTTTTTCTTACGCTGACTTCAGCTGCACACCCACTTCATGAGCAATCTGCAGAGACTGGTTCCTAGCTGTCATTATTCATACATATTTGAAACAGTTGATTATGAAAGTCTATTTAATTTTTAATAAGAATATGTGTCCTTTTTTTTCATAAATTGTTTTGCCTCATGCAGAATGTAATTATCCCAGTCTTTGGGATCTCAGAAGAAGGAGACGTTAGTGGCTGCAGAAACTGCAGTAATATCTGCGTTTACTTGCTGCTCTATACCGGGACAAAAACAACTTGGAGAGGAACTAAAGAAGAAGGTAGATGGTTTTCTTTTGGAAAGGCAATTTTGTGAAATTGTTTTACTACTATATTCAACAACAGACACTGAAGAAGAAATGCATGCATTATAGACAGGATATTTTAAATATGTTCTTAGAAAAATACAACACATGAAAGAAATAAAGCTTGAAATAACACTGAAGTTTATTTTATCACTCCACAACTTTGGCGGTATGATATACTATTTTTTCACTTTGCCTGTTTTACCTTGGTAACTTCTGTTACATGTGTAGGGAAAACTACTCCTAGGTTAACTTTAGTTTCTTGCTTTTGTTTGTCCCTCTAGTCTAATGGAATTTAATTTGAGTCTCCCTGTTTCTGAGAAAGTTGGGAACACTTTAATGCTTTCCAAAAGTCAGATGCATGACCAAGATATTTCTTTTGTGAAAGAAAGGTCTACAATACACGTTACATAAACCACGCAGAGAAGAAAAAGTATCTGTGTCATTTACAAGTACGTCTTAGGCAAAGTTAAAGGTTTACGGAGCAGTTTTGTTCAGTGTGCAGGCATACCATGATGTTTTTCCATCACTCTAGCAATATGGAAACTTCATAATGAATCATCTGAAGTTTTCTTTTGAACCACTGATGTGTCAATCTTTCCTTTCTCCTCTGGGACACTCTGTAGTTGCCCTTGGCTCTGTTTGCCTCAAAGAGTTACTCAAATCTCTCATACTACTAGCTAGCTGATGTTCATAAGAAGTGCTGGAGATCTTGGCAATATTCTGTGGTTTAGCCATTATTTTAGGTATATGACGCTGGGAAAATTCCTTGGGAAGACTTTTTCATCCCTACATAGTGGCAATGTATTGCAAACAATATTTGACTGTGTCGTTGGGCTTTTGCTTTGGAAATTAAATTTACATTTGTCTCCAAGAACTCCTTTACACAGCCTTCTTTGACAGATATCCAGACATCTGCAGAGTGGGCTATACATACATGCATACACATATATTTTAAAGGAAATGTCCTTGCTGAGTCAGATCACCGTATTGTACACTAATGAGAATAAGACTTGCAGGCAGTCTTTTTGAAGTGGTGAACCTGCATCTTCTTCACACTTGATGTATGATACCCTAGAACCTGCTGACAAAGGCTCAGTGAAAGGGGAAGTCATCGCTGTCCCTGACAAGTTGAAATTCTGTCTGGTTGTGTTGCTGTGTTTCTATTGATGCCGAAATTTTGCCCCAAAAGGCACGGAGAAACTGCTTTAGAGACAAAGTTTGTTTCTTTAAAGCAGGAGGTATTTTATTGCAACGCGTTGGGGAGCTCTCCAGGTCGCCCTGGGCAAAGAGTTCCGTCGTGTATAGTCAGCATAGCTCTTTTATACAGTTTTCGAATATAGGATTACAACATAATCATGCATATTCATTAAATTGCAACATCTAGTTGTAATATTCATATGAAGGTGGAGTCTGGGCGGAGTCTTCAATTTGGGGAGATTTCACGGTGGGAGTTCCTGTTGCCTTCCTCTGGGCGGGGGTCGTGTGTGAGTCTTCCTCACTGTAAACTTCTGAACTTTCTTTAGATCTTCTCCTTTTAAGGCAGTTTTGGCAAACATAATAAGGTCAGGCTGACTTTTTGGCTCATCCTAGGATTTGCTGAGTTGCTATCTCTGTGAGGAATGCAGCTATCTCTCTAGGACTGCTCTAGGATTCGCTGAGTTGCTATGTCAAGGACTGCCTAGTTTCCTAATGTTAAGGTTTTGAAATTTCTCTTACAATTTTGTGTTAACCTTTTATGTTTCAAAGTTTTAAGTGAGTGGCTTCATTCCCCCCTTTTCTTATAACTTACGAATTCTTTCGTCAAGTTTTAATCTCTAAGGGACGTTGGTAAGATTGGATCATTGCCTAAAGTGTTTGGGTTTTTGTCATTAAGGATTTCAGTCCGCTCCATAGGTATATGTTTGTGAGTGTTAGTAAAAGCATAGCTATGGTTATGATTAGTATTGGGTGCACAAGGTAGTGGAATACTTGAGTTGCTGTTGGGGAATGCCCTGTAAAAATATCCCACTAATGGTAGTGCCATGTCCATATTCACACAGGACTTTTACTCAGGGGCTTGGTACCCTATCTGCAGATGCTGGTGTTTCGCTTGTTTCTTCCTCTTGCTTATTCTCCGGAGCTTTCTTGACTCGTGAGTAATGAATCCATGTAGGTCGCTCTTTGATCCGGACCGCGGTGAAGGTGGTCAGCAGAATTTGGAAAGGTCCTTCCCACTTTTCTTGTAGGGGTTTTCCTAAGAGATTCTTAACATATACCCAGTCACCGGGGTTGAACAGGTGTAATTTACAATCAGGCTGTTTGGGTTGATGTTCTATCACCACAGCTGTACTTTTATCAAAATGTTTCCCTATAGTGATTACATAATCATAAATGTACTGATTACCTATTTGGTCTATAGCATCTCCATTTACAATCTGCATAGCGTAAGGTCTTCCATACAGAATTTCAAATGGACTCAATTTTTCTTTTGATCTTGGTTTGACTCTCAGTCTAAGTAGAGCAATAGGCAAAGCTTGATACCACTGTAAATTGGTTTCCTGGCATATCTTAGCAATTTGTTGTTTAATCAGGTGATTCATCTTTTCGACTTGCCCACTAGCCTGAGGCCGGTAGGGCGTATGTAACTGCCACTTAATTTGTAATGCCTTGCTTATTGCTCTTACTACTTTTGCACAAAAATGCGTACCTCTGTCTGAAGATATACTTCTCGGTACCCCAAATCGGGGTATTATTTCGTTTAGTAAAACCTTGGTTACTTCTCTTTCTTTATTTGTCCTACAAGGGAATGCTTCAGGCCACCCAGAAAATGTGTCAGTTAATACTAATAAATATCGAAACCCCCCTTTTCTTGGGAGTTCTGAAAAATCAATTTGCCACACTTCACCTGGGAATTTACCTCGATTTATGGCTCCCTGATGTACCTTCGTTCCAGTATTTGGATTATTCTTTAGGCATCGCTCACATTGAGATGTGACGTATTTTACTGTAGTAAAGAGTTTTGGTCCTGCTATTCGGGTTTGTAAATATTGATAGAGTGGGTCTAAGGCCCAATGGGCTTTTTCATGTTCTGTCTTTACAAACTGCCACATTAATTTTTCAGGTATTATTAGTTGACCTGTTTCTAACTGTCCCCACCCGTTGTCTAACAATTTACCCTTGTTCTTTTTAATCCATCTTTGATCTGATTCTTGATAATTTGGTTGAAAATCTGTATCTAATTCTCCCGGTATTAAAGCTGTTATGGTTATTTCTTCAGTTTTTGCAGCAGCTAATTTGGCTTCTGCATCTGCCTTCCTATTCCCTATTTCTGGAACTGTGTTACCTTTCAGGTGTCCCTTACAATGCATTATGGCCACCTGCTCTGGGAGTTGGACCGCTTCTAACAACCTTAAAATTTCTTCTGCATGTTTGATTGTTTTCCCCTGGGCAGTTAATAGTCCCCTTTCTTTCCAAATTGCTCCGTGAGCATGTACGACAGAGAAAGCATATTTAGAATCAGTCCAAATGTTAATTCGCATACCTTCTGCTAATTCCAGGGCTCGGGTAAGAGCAATCAGTTCTGCCTTCTGGGCCGAAGTCCCTGCAGGTAGGGGATTTGATTCAATTACCTCTTCTGTTGTGGTCACTGCATAGCCTGCCATTCTTACTCCTTGCCTCACGAAGCTGCTGCCGTCCGAGAACCAGTTGTCCGCATCTTCAAATGGTTCCTCCTTGAGGTCTGGACGACTGGAATAGACTGCCTCGATCGTTTCCAGGCAATCATGTTCGAGAGATTCTGCCGGAATTCTCCCTTCTAGAAACGAAGCTGGGTTGACAATGTTAGTTACTTGAATGGTTACATCATCTGATTCAGCTAGGATGGCTTGATACTTTAGGAATCTTGAAGGCGATAACCAATGGTTACCCTTTTGTTCCAGCACTGCTGAGACAGTGTGAGAGACTAACACAGTCATTTTCTGGCCTAGCGTAAGCTTTCTGGCCTCTTCTATGTTGATAATCACTGCGGCCACTGCTTTTAGGCACCCAGGCCAGCCTTTGCTTACTTCGTCCAATTGTTTGGAGAAATAAGCTACAGCTCTCTTATGTGGTCCCAACTGCTGTGCTAGAACTCCCAGAGCCATCCCCTGCCACTCATGGGAGAATAACCAAAACGGCTTAGTTACATCTGGAAGACCCAAGGCTGGGGCTTTCATGAGTTCTTGTTTCAGTCTTTTAAAAGCTCCTTCTGCCTCGGGAGTCCAGGTTAAGGTACTCGTAGTCTCCTTTAGTAAGTCATATAGTGGTTTGGCAAGTATTCCATATTGATGAATCCATAATCGGCACCAACCTGTCATTCCCAGAAAGGCCCGTAGATCTCTTACCGTTTCTGGTCTGGGCATCTGACAGATGGCTTCTTTTCTTGCTGTGCCTAGAGATCGTTGTCCCCTGGAGATTTCATATCCCAGGTATATCACCTTTTCTTGTACCAGCTGTGCCTTTTGTAGAGAAACTCGATATCCACTTAAGCCCAAAAAGTTTAGCAGGGAAATAGTCCATTCAATGCACTCCTCTTCTGTTTCAGTTGCTACTAATAAATCATCTACATATTGTAGAAGGGTACCATTTCCCAGTGGCCTTTCCCATTGTTCTAATTCTTTGGCCAATTGGTTTCCAAAAATCGTGGGACTGTTTTTATATCCCTGCGGTAACACAGTCCAAGCTAGTTGAGTCTTTCTCCCTGTTTTAGCAGATTCCCACTCAAAAGCAAAAATTTTCTGGCTTGTCAGAGCTAAGGCTAGGCAAAAGAATGCATCTTTTAGGTCTAATACTGTGAACCATTTTAAATTTTCCTCAATTTGGTTAGAAGAGTATAGGATTTGCTAGCGACCGGGTGTAAAGTTTTTGTAATTCTGCTCACTGCCCTTAAATCTTGGACTAATTCATATGTCCCATTCGGTTCTTAACAGGTAGGATTGGTGTATTAAAATCTGATTCACACTCTACCAATAACTTAGTTCTAGAAATTTTTCTATTATTGGTTCAATTCCCCTTCTATCTTCCAACCTCAGCGGTATTGCTTTTCTTACTACCGTTTTGTTCCCTGGTATTAACTCAATATTAATAGGAGTCTGCTCGCTTTTGCCTTGTGGACTATTCAGCTTCTGTGATCCGCTTTCTCTCCCGTAACTCTCCGATCTTGCTGGGCTACTATCTTCCCAGCTGTTTTCTAATCTTGGGGGCTGTAACCGCTCTTGGATCTGCTCTGTTCCAGTGACATATCCCCCAACAGACTAGTGTCTCTTTCAACCTCCCTTTCGCTTGGGCGGAGGAACCCCATGATCCTGGCGCAAACGGCTGATACTCCATAAGCTTATTTCGCTTCTTCCGCTATCCTCCTCGTTATTTAAGGCATTGCTGTCCAATACTACAGGCATCACAGCAACGCTCCTTAGGTTTTAAGTTTTTCTTATCTTTCTCTAAGGCCAGTACTAGGGGATCTTTGGGGTGCTAGCATTCACCCCACACTCCTTCTGCCACTCCTGGTTTATTTCTCAAGGTGAAGAACATATCGCAGTACATTACTGTGCCCCATTTGCCTAGCCGACGGAGGAACAACATGAGTTGTAAAATTGTGTTGTAATTAATTGTTCCTCCGGAGGCCATTTTTCATCATCATCCAACTTATATAGAGGCCACCCCTATGTACAGTATTTTAAAAGTGTCTTTTTACTTATGTTTCCCTGGAATCCCCCCAAATCTTTCCAATGCTTCAAGACACACCCTAAGGGGGTCTTCATGTTTATATCTTTACTCTGCTGGCCTCCCATTGCTGTTTTTCTAAATCTATCTCTTTGCTTTAACCAGATTTTTTTTTTTTTTTTTTTTTTTTTTTTTTTTTTGTCAATACTCATACACACAGCTTTCAATCGCCTCGTCCGTCTTCTGGCCTGGCTTCTCGCGAAGAACAGGAACCGCAGATTAGACTC